AAGATCTTTTACTTGTAAAGTTTAGTCCAAAACTAGGGGCAAATTTTGAGGGTTATTGAACCTTTTAATTTCATTCTTTTGCAAATCCAGTGATAGTAAAGCTGATTTGGTTTGGCTTACTATCCCTGTATCAAAACACCTGCAATACTGAAACATACACTCCTACTGTATTCAATTTCCCTCATGATGAAACCATTCTATCTGCATTCCTAACTACTTGCTATAGCTGCATGCTAAGCTTTTGTAGTTCAAGCAAGAAAATACCTAATGCCTCTCCATCCTCTCACTATTTAAACATGCTTTTTATTCTTCCTTTTGAAATGGACAATTTCACATTTTCCCATGTTACAGTCCATTTGTCATATCTTTGTCTACTCACTTTATGTATCAATATCTTTTTGTAACCTCCATATGTTCAATTCACAACATACTTTCCTACCTATCTTTTTGTCATCAGCAAATTTGGCAACAATATTTTTCTTCTTTCATCAAAATCTTACATAATTTGCAAACAGCTGAGGTTCCACCTCTGATGTCTATGGTACACCTCTCGTTACATCTTGCCAATTTGAAAAATAACCATCAATACCTACCTGCTGCTTCATGTTAGCCAGTGAATCTTCTGTTCTAGCCAATATGTTATCTCCTATACTATGAACTTTTTTTTTGCAATAACCTTTGAAGGTCATTGAAGTGGCACCTTATCAAAGACCTCTGGAAATCTAGTGTAGTATATATACTAGTTCTCCTCTATCCACAACACATGCCACCAAAGAACTCCAATAGATTGGTTAAACATGACTTCTCTTTCACAAAACCATGCTGGCTCTGCCCAATTACCTTGAACGTATCCTGCTATAACTTGTTGAAAATATCTGCTACAGTTGTTAAGCTAAGTGGCTGACAGTTTCCTGTCTCCCTGTTTGATTAAAGGAGCTGCATTCACTATCTTCCAATTTAATGGAATGACTCAAGTTGGAGAATTAAAACCAATGCAGCAACTGTCGCACTAGTGAATTTTTCAAAGGACCCGAGGATGGGGATGTGATCTATATGAACTATAGTAAGGTGTTTGATTAGATTCCATATGGTAGATTGGTTAGCAAGGTTCGATCACATGGAATACAGGGAGAACTAGCCATTTGGATACAGAACTGGCTTGAAGGTAGAACACAGAGGGTGGTAGTGGAGGCTTGCTTTTCAGACTAGAGGTCTGTGACCACTGGTGTGCGACAAGGATTGGTGCTGCGTCACTGCTTTTTGTCATTTATATAAATGATCTGGATGGTGAACATTGGAGGTATAGTTACTGAGTCTGCTGATAACACCAAAATTGGTGGTGTAGAGGACCGCCAAGAAGGTTGCCTCAGAGTACAACGGGACCTTGATCAGATGGGGCGGTGGGCTGAGGAGTGGCAGATAGATTTTAATTTAGATAAACGTGAGGTGCTGCATTTTGGGAAGGCAAATCAGGGCAGGACTTACACACTTAATGGTAAGGTTCTGTGGATTGTTGCTGAACAAGGAGATCTTGGAGTGCAGGTTCATAGTTCCTTGAAAGTAGAGATGCAGGTAGATAGGAGAGTGAAGAAGGCATTTGGTATGCTTGCCTTTATTGGTCACTGCATTGACTATAGGAGTTGGGAGGTCATGTTGTGGCTGTACAGGACATTGGTTAGGCCACTTATGGAATACATTTCTGGTCTCCCACTATAGGAAGGGTGTTGTGAAACTTGAAAGGGTTCAGAAACAAGTTACAAGGATGTTGCCAGGGTTGGAGGGTTTGAGTTATGGGGAGAGGCTGAATAGGCTGGGGCTATTTTCCCTAGAGGGTCAGAAGCTAAGGTGTTTAGAAATTTATAAAATTATGAGAGGCACAGATGGGAAAAGGCTTTGGTCATTCATCCTGAGGTTAGCAAAGTCCAAAACTAGAGGGCACAGGTTTAAGGTGAGAGGGGAAAGATTGAAAAGGGATCTAAGGGGCAACTTTTCATACAGAGGATGGTGCTTGTATGGAATGAGCTGCTACAGGATGTGGTGGAGGCTGGAACAGTTACAACATTTAAAAGGCATCTGGATGGGTATATGAATAGGAAGGCTTTAGAGGGATATGGGCCGAGTGCTGGCATATTAGATTGGATTATTTTGGATGTCTGGTTGAGATGGATGAATTGGACCGAAGGGACTGTTTCCATGCTGTACAGCTCTATGACTCTACGACATCCATCAGAACCCAGGCACTTGTTGGTCCACAGCTTTAACAATTTATACAGTACCTATTCACTGGTGACTGTGATTTTCTTGAGTTCCTCTCCCAATTTTCTGATTAATCAATCCTTATGGCATGTTACTTCTTTGGTCTATAGTGAAGACTGATGCAAAATATCTGTTCAATCCATCTGTCATTTCCTTATTTTCGGCCATTAATTCTCAAACCTTGCTTTCTATTGGACCAAAGCTCACTTTGTTCACTCCTTTTCTTTCAGTATTTCTAGAAACTTACTATTTGCTTTTTTATTTCTGGTTAGATTTCTCTCCTAATCAAATAATTTCGTCCTAAATGCTTTGATTCTTTGCCGTTTTTTAGACTCAGATTTATCGTCTGACCTGCCTGACAATTGTCTTTGTACAATTAAATGCTTTTTCTTGAAGTTTGATACTATTATTTCTATATTTCTAGTTAACCAGGGAATTTTTCTTACTTGCTTCAATATGTCTATTCTACATACTTTGAAATGTCCACTTAAATGTCTGCCACTGCATCTCCACTGACCTGTCCTTGAACTTAATTTGACAAGTCACTTTAGTCAACTTTGCTTTCATGACCTCTTAAATGTCCTTATTTAAATTAAAAAGAAATTCTCAGACCTACTGCTCTCTGATTCAAACTGACTGTAAAATTCAGTCATATTATGCTCAATGCTATCTAGGGGTGCCTTCAATTGGAGATCATTAATTAATCTTGTTGTACAGAATGAGAACTAGTATAGGCTGTCTCTGGTTGGTTCAAGAATAGTTTGTTCTATGAAATTACCCTGGAAAAAAAAAATTATGAACTTGTCATCTAGGCTACCTTTGGCCATCTGACTTTTCCAGTCAATATTCAGGTTAAAATTTCCTATTAAAATTTCCCACTGCCTTTCTGACAAACTCATTATTTCTTCCTTTATGCCACTCTCTTGTGGTTACTGTTAGGGAGTCTTTACACCAATCCCACATGTGACTTCTTTATCATTTCTCATTTCTACCCAAACTAATTCCACATCTTAGTTTCCAGAACTGAAGTCATCTCTCCATATTGTGCAAAATCAATTATTAACCAACAAAGCCACCTCTCCACTTTTTACTACTGTCATTCCAAAGTGTTCTCTATCCTTCAAGATTCAGGTTCCAATCAATGTCATCTCATGTCTCTGTAATGGCTATCAGATCACGCTTATTTATTCCTATCTGCATTTTCTGTTCATCTATTTTGTATTCTGCTAAGAGCCTTTAGTTTACACTTTATAACCCTCTTCACAAATTTAAGTCTTAGCTGTTGGTTGAGATTCATACTCTATCCTTTCCTGTCATGATCTGTTTATCATTTACCGTATTAATACCTTTCTCTTTTGCTTTGACTGTACTCTTTCATTTACCACATCTTCCCAAATTTGATCTCTTGCCTCCACTATTCAATTTAAAAACCTCACTACTTCCCTAGTTATGGCGTTAGGAAAATAGACCACAATGAAAACAGACCAAGTGGAGGCACATAAACTCCAGCCCATAAAGTTTCTGAAGAATCAATACCTGCGAATTTGCAACATATAAAATGAACCAAGCTGTTTATCATTTCTCTGCACTAGCAATTTCAGAAGCACTCCCATGTTCTCCTGGCTTTATGTTAAGGTAGGTTAACTTATTAAGGGTTAATAAAAGATGGTAGGTGTAATTAGTTTACAGAGGAGCCACAATCTGACTTAATACTGAAACAGGCTAAGAAACTGAATTTACTATGCTCTAATGATCGGTTTGCTGATGGATAGACATGAAATCAGTAACTTTATTTTTAAAAAACCCAGTGCACATTAAGTGTTCCCAGGAAGTGCCTGCACTCTTTTGAGCAGTCTTCATCTTTCAAAAGCATATACTGAAAATAATTGAAATAATTGAAAATTGAAATAACTGAAAATAATTGAGAAATTAATGTCATGTAATTCCTAATTTCTTGAATGGTTCAGGCAGCAGCAAATGATTTATAGATGAGGAGAGCCCCAGATTCATTCCCTCATCTGTCATGCAATCTTAGTAAGGACACTTCTAAATGGGTCTCAGTATCCACAGTTTGGTGCAAGAAATAATCCAAATAAATCTGACTCTCAGCTGTTGGAAGTACAACAGCAGACAATGGTTGAGGACTTGCTCAGGCTCAGCTGCAAGGATCCATATAAACCACTAATGACACTGTCTGGACTTAGGAAGAATAGCTGTTTGGGAAGGTGATTATTTAAAAATAAAGAAAGAAAAAATTAAGAAATTCAGAAAAGGGAGAAAACCATAAGGACAAAAAGAGGTTGGGGGTTGGATAAATACGGTTCAGAAGTTTCACTTCCTATTTATCATCCTTCATTGACAGAACCTCAGAGACAGATATACCCCAGTTCTTTAACCTATTGCTGAAATATTGCATCAATCTCATTTAACTGTATCCTCTTGTGCAGCAGAAATTTTGTTATTCCTAATGGTAATATCCCTTTTTTACCCCAGATCTGTCACTGCTGTTTGTTGCAGTACAAATACAATGAAGCTCTTATTTACTGTGCTCTGGAGTAATAGAATGTCGACTCACACCTGCAATAATATGCTCAGTAATTAACTGCAGTAAATGTATTTTTGGCTTTGCAACTGTAAACCAATATCTACATGTACACACATAGGACACTGTGCCACAATTATACTAAATATATATATTTTGATGATGAAAAGTGTAAGGAGGATGAAGTTCCAACATTGAACAAAGCTATTTTAAAATTTCATGCATTTACTATATTTCCTGTAGAAAAAAAACTTACTAGTTTAGCACGAACTGCAGAGCATCTTCTAGCCAGTTGTCGAATAAGTGAATGGGCCTCGGGTAGTAATGGCTTTTCTATACAGGCTAACAGTGCATACAACCATCTGCCCTGTGAAAAAAATTGAAACACAGTATTGACACAGCAAACTACACACAAGTCTATAGTGGTCATGACCTTCACAATGAATTGGTAGACTATCCTTGGAGCATAGTGTACAATTTTTGGTGTTAAAAGGGTCAACGTTGCATAGATGTTAGTTTGGCGAAGCACAAAAAGAATAAACTATTGAGAAAGATTAAAAGTTCTTAAGCTCTAGAACCTATTTGGGTAGTCATTAGATAAGGATCCTACCAGACTCTTTGCAATCTATGTTAATAATCTACAAATGATATCAGCAGCACAGTCCACTGAGACTTTTCCTAATGCTAGGGCCATATGAGAAAGAAAACTAGAATCTGAAATTTAGGTGCACTGGGAGAATGTTCACAAGACTTTGCTTTTTCCATAAACTTATTGGGCCAGATTTTCTGACGAGTGGCAGTTTCATGTAGATTGCCACTCAGGCCAATCCTTTTTTATGAAAGGAGGGGGCTCTGCATTTGAGAGGAGATTTCGCTCAGGTCTCCCTCAGGAATGGGTAGCCTTATTTCCATTCTGACAGTTCTTTTGTAGAGTAGGCAAACCTCAGCCCCCTTTTCCACAGCAGTCAGCAACCATAGTCTGACATTTCGAAGTCCTGACGTCCACTTTAACAGCTTCTGTCAAGTGTAGGTGCATAAGTTAAGTGTGGCCAAGTCCCCAAGTGCAACTTTTATCTGACAACCGGCCAGTGGAAAGTCTATCCTAAGGTTTCAACTTTCTCCCCCACATCCTTTTTTTCAAACTTCTTCCCCCTTTTTTTACAATCAAACTGTTCAGAGATGTTATGACATCCTTTTGGAGCAGGTGAGACTTGAACTTTGGACACTGTCACTGAGCCACAAGAACCCACCTCAAACGGCCACCACTCTCATAGCAATTTTCTTTAATTAATGATTCAATCCATTTTGATTGCTGTAATAAATTTAGCATCAATCACACCATTGGCAAAGCTTGTTCATATACCATATTCTACCTCTCAATTTATGTTCTTATCTTGAGATCATGGCCATCTGATCTCAATTTATCAATTGTGAAAAAACCTTGTCTATTCCTTTTATCATTCTGAATGCCTCCATAAAATCCTACTCAAACCTAGGGTAGTTATTGATTCAGATTTTCCCTGCAACTCACATCACCCAATCCTGTTATCATCCTGGTAAATTTTGCTAAGGTGAATCCAGAATATTGGTTAAAGGTAAACTAGGTTAGAAAACAAAAACTATTGCATGGTAACAAAAAAAACATAATTCCTTAAATGGTAAGCCAATAGAGTCAAACACATTAACGAAGTTGAAATCAATTGGAAACTAAGCTAGTTTGGGTGTACCTTAACAATAAAAAAGTTTAATAGAATTCTAATATGCAATTGATTTCTTGATCAGACAGATCATAGTTAATATAAGGTCAGTAGCTGTTGCCTTTGCTGCTGCTGCATTGCATTGGTAGACCAAGCAGTAGAAGATGGAAAAAAGTTTTTTGATGCCTCAAGTAAATTATGCACATCTATGATTTATGGTCATCTACAGCAACAGGCAGTATGCCAAAGAAGATACTTCCAACTGATTTTAAAACAATCTATGTAGACCAGAGGGAAGTAATCACTTACTAATTCTGGATATAATTTTTTATCTCCAAACCAGTTAATGAGATACTCCAATGTGTTAAATACAGTGGGCTGGAAAAAAAGTAAAAACAAATTATGAATATTCTTGCAAAAGTTACACAGAAACAAGTGACTGAAGCAGAGTTAAATCTAACACAGGAAGCACAGGCTATCTTGTGAGTTTTAACAAAACAAATATCAAGTACTGATTCATGTGTTGCTAAAACTGGAAACTAATTAAGCATAGTTATCCAATTAATAAATCACAATGCAGGCTATCCTCGTCTAAGTATTGGAATACCATGGACTGAAAATATAAACCAGTATCTAAGAACATTTACTTAGTATATAAATAAGCTTGGTGATGAACACATTTAAAAAGAAACCAGCATTGTGAAATGAACAAAAACAGTTAAATGCTAGAAAGATTCTTTAATTTCTGAAAAAGACAAAGACACTCATATTTTGCAATATTTTACACGTGAAATATTACTGGGAAACTTTACACATAAGGTGTTCATATTAGTTTAAGTTTTCCCTGAAATTGATTATTACATCTCCACACACATACAGACCACTTAATCAGAAGCCAATTATGGTACAGCTCAGAGTCAATTTTAGTCACTGATAGAACTCATGGGTGATCAGTTTGTTCCTTAATAACCTTAAGTAACTGATAAAGATAGTCAAGAACCTTCTAAGTTATTGAGATACCCAATATAAACGCTGAGAGAGTATCTGGGTAGTGTTGCTGCTCAACTGTTGAGAGATTCTATTTAATAAAACAACCAAATAATTTAAAAATAGCTGCTCCTTCAACAACTGAGTAAGGGAGGCAATACAACAACCTATGGATCTACTTCAGCTATTAAATGTTTTCAAGATAGAGGAATAATGCAATAACTCGGTGGGTACATATTTATTAAGTGAAAAACTTCCTAATGGTGATACTTGTGCTGCGTCTGAAGATAAAACTTCATTGTATTTAATTTGGGGTCACTACTTCATAGTAATGAAGTTAAATTGCATTTAACAGAAGAAAAACTAGGATATTACAGGGATGCTGGAGATTTTTTTCAAGTCTTCAGGTATTCGAGTTCCATAATTTTAAGGAGAGGATTATATAATGCATTGCAAACCACAAAACATTGCTGATGTACTTTAAATGTTGGAAATAAAATTTATTTTAACAAACATATGCAAAATAGAATGAGGGAAAGATTGAATACCAACATTTCATCAACAAATTAAAAGTGTTCAGTTCAATTTACAATTCTTCAGATGATAAAGCATCCCATGACAGCAGTCAAGATCTCGATATCATGTGTCATTAGGGCCAGATAATAATCAACTCCAAGAAGAGACAGTTTAAACATCTCCCCATACCCTTCAAAGCAACATAATCAATCATCAAATACCCAACAAGGAATATCCTGGGTTTATCACCAGAAACTTAACTAGACCAGCCCCACAAACTCTGATCAATACAGCAATGGGGAATTCTGCCGCAGGTAACTAAACTGAATCTTTGAAGTGTGGAAAAACACCTACAATGCACAAGTCAGGAGAGTGATGTTAAAATCTACCACTTGTGAGTGCAACTTCAACGCCACTAAAGAATTTTGACACCTTCAAGGACAAACAACCTAAATGATCAGCACCCTATGCACCTAATACGACGTAACTCCAATTGTCCATTTACATGGTGCACTTTCAACTTGCCCAAAGCTTTTTCTCCAGAAGCTTCCAATTCAACATCTATCAGCAAGGACAAGAGTGATACAGGCATAGGAACACTACCATCTGCAGGATTTCCTCTAAGTCACACACTGTTATGATTCAGAAACACAGGTAGAGTGCATCTCAAATTCAGCTACCCAAAAAAACAGGGTTATGCAAAAACTGGATATTGTTCTCTTGGGCACCATTCCCAGAGTAAGTGCAGGAATGAAGAAACTACTGTCAAGCTGATCCCAGAAAACAATCAGTGAGAGAGTTGTGTGCACACAGGACCCTCGTGATTGCAGCACATCAGCCATTTCTCCCGGTCTCAACTTTTACAGTTCAAGCAAATACTCTTTTCCTGCAAGAATTATTCCAATGTAAGATTAATAGATGTTTAATCATTTGCCCAATCAAAATTTTAAAGCTTCAATGGCTTTGCTCACAATGGTTATGAGGCCTTGTACCTTTTAAGCACTCTTGTCTTGTGATCTACAAATTGTGCAATAGAGACGATTTGTGTGAAGGAGCTGGTTGCAAATCAAGGACAATCTGAAATCTGACACGATCTTGGTCCTGAGATTGCCAAAGTTGGGTGGCTATTAGATATCATCATTTGTTCATTGATGGTGGGCCAAAGTTTTAGATGTCCTTATCCAACAGTATTTTGGGAGTACTGTGACCACAGGTGACACCACACTTCCTGAAAAACAATAAAGCCTGCCCTGTTGGCTACACACTAATAGAAACAATCTATGTTCTAAAATTTCACTGTGTGAAGAAATTCTCAGCCTGTCATTCAATTTTCAAAACTATAATCTTTTGTTCTTCACCCTCAACTACAGAAAATAATTCTGCAGTAACCACCCAATCAAAATCCTTGATAATTTTAAAACTGAATTGAATATCATTTTAATGTTTGGTGCTCTAGTTAAAACATTCCAGTGTTTTAAGTTTCTCTTTGAAACAGCTATGCTTTTAGTTCCTTGCCATCGTCATGGTGCATCTGCACTGTAAGCTTTCTATGGCTTTAATATTCTATTCAATTTAGATGCACAAAAATACAAAAAAAATGTTTATTAATAATCGACATTACTTCTTCATTCTTACACTCCTTAAAAACACTGAAAATTTACTCGGCCTACAGGCATACTTTCAGAGGTTAATGTAATTAAATCTCTAGGCATATATGTTTACCTTTGCTTTTCACTATCTTTCCCTTGAGGTTACACATCATTATTCCTTTAGGATAATTTTAATGCACATCTCAGGAAAGGCAGGAGAGTAATTCATTTGTCCAAAAAGGGGTTCTAAAAAGCTACAAATGCATCCATTTCGATTTAACCAGGGTGGATGTAGGGTTGGGAATCAAAATAAATGACACATAATGCCTCAGCTTTTCTCAGCTATCTGGATGCAACACCTCCAGCGAGAGTTTCCAGGAACTCTGCCAGATCCAAGAGGTCATGTGCTTTTCCAACATGACTTGGGGATCAGGAGGAAGAAATGCTTACCAACTTTCCTCCATAAACTTGCAACAGCCAGCTGATACCATCCCAATCTCCATTTCTCCCTCTGCCCTGTAATATCCTCACTCTCCCCCGTGTGATCTTATAGCCAAGTGCAAGAGGCAATCCTAAATACAGCAAGCCTGGCACTGGATGATTTATAATAAAACACCCCCATGTTTATTAAATTATATAAGGTAGCAAGTATTACTTTAGTAAGGTATTATTGTGTCCTCAGGAAAGTTCAGGCAAATTTGATTTTAATTAATCGTAGTTTGACAAATTAGAATGGAAGGCCAGAATGCAGCTTGGAAACATTCTACATTTTAAAATTATTTTCCACCCATAACAAAGCTGGACATCTGTGTGCAACCTGTGTTGTTCTGATGCACCTTGTTAAAAACATATTGCTTGTGGATTTCCAATGATGTTGTTCAAATAATGTACTCAAAGAATTAGCTTTTATTTAAAACATGCAGTATTTTAAGATGCAGTACTGTTGCTGCAAGGTCACATGATAGAAGTATTTTAATATGCACAACTTCAAAGGTTAGAAGTCATTTATTGCTTGGTTTAGAAACTTTTTAGGTTAGAATATAGTTGCAGTTCAGAAAGCCTTCACATTTTAAGATTATATAACTTGAGATTGTAGATGAAGACTTTAGTCTTTACACCAAAATTTCTCAGAAGATCAGCATGTGAACACTGCTAAAAAGCAAACAAAGTGTGAAATCTACACATACCTGACTCATTCTGCTGACAATGCTCAACAAGGGAGGAAATCCTACCTGCAAAATAATCAACGGCCTATAGTAATTTAAACTCATCACATTAATAAAACAGAAAACAAAAATCTAAATAATACCAATGGCAAACTCCAAAAGTATTAGCATGCATAAGAGATGCAAACAACAATTACATCTCACCATACATGTTTCGTATAATATTTCTGATAATCACAAGATAAGGATTTCACAGATTCCCAGTTAGGCCCCAGCAGGTGAACCTAAAGAAGCTGCACAACAACACATTGGGACTAGAATTTTCATACGATGGTTGCTGACAAGACAGTGGGGGACCTGTATTGGGTTTGGGAATGCATTACAATCTGTAACAGGCTTTGCTATTCTCTTCAATTTAGCCATAACATTAGCATCTCCCTCTCTGGGCCCTCCAGCTAATCACAGGACAGATACAGCTTATCAGCCTGCCTGTCAAAGAAAAGATGTTTACTTAAAAGGGGTGCCAAGATAGGTTAGAATGGCTGAACTATAATTTTTGAAGCTGCAGTAGCAGAAGATGGGAGAGGAGACTTGAGAAGGTTTTTTTACATGCAGTTTCTGCTGTAAGATTCAAAGGTCTACACTAAGGTGATCTTGCCCGCAAATGGGAGGAAGTGAACAACCTCTCCAGCTAAGGAGGTGTGCATAACAGAAGCCAAGTTACTCAGGAGGAGAAATGTGGTCACTGTAATTACAGATGCAATTGGAGACAGTGCACCAATTAGTTTCAGAATCTTAGGAGGGCAGGAAAGAGGAATTGTTTAACCTCTTTAGGTGCCAAACCTACGTTCTTGACTTTGCAGCATTGTCCTGAGGAGTGCTCAGGAAGAGAAAGGAGGTGCCTTTCAAAGTGCAGCTCGACTCATTCATGTTTCACTTAGACACGTTCTATTCACCTCTTACACTGATGCCTCACAGTAACTCTCCGCAAATATCTATTCTTCCTAGACACAAACAATTACTCATAACTTTCTAAATAAAAACCAAAAGAACTGTGGATGCTGTACATCAGGAACAAAAACAAAGTTGCTGGAAAAGTTCAGCAGGTCTAGCAGCATCTGTGGAGGAGAAAACAGAGTTAACGTTTCGTGTCCGGTGACCCTTCCTCAGAACTGAGGGTCACCGGACCCAAAACGTTAACTCATAACTCTCTGCTTGATAAGAGACCACACTTCAGGGACAAGTAGAGACTTACAGTGGATGGCATGAAGCAATTGGTTGTGGCCCTCCAGTGATAGGCACTTTGACAGCTGCTGGCAATATGTGCCCATCTACTCCATTTGGAAGAAGATTTTTTTCCAGGATGCTATGTGTCAACAGCAATCTGCTATGAATGCCTGAACCTCTTGGTGCTTACATGTATCAAAAGACCAATTCTCTGCCCGTATACCCAGTTTTCTGGGTCTTACTTTCTTGGTGTGGATCTGTGCAGCCAACCTCTCTGTACTGTGACCGGCATGTCGCTGAGGAGAATACAGTTGGTGCTGGTGTGGTTTCTTTTGATCTTTATCAGAGTGCAAGGTAGAGCCATGCTGTGGTAAAGCCTGTGGAAAGTGCAGTTGAAGGGAAGTGAAGTGCAAATGAGTTTTTTTTCTAAATTTGCTCATGGGACATGGGCATTGCTGACTGGTCAGCATTTATTGCCAGTCCTCAGTTGCCTTTATGGGGAGTTGTCTTCTTGAACTGTTGCAGTCCATGTGATGTAGATTGACCCACAATGCTCTTAGGGAGGGAATTCCAGGATTTTGACCCAGTGACAGTGAAGGAGTGGTGAAATACTTTCAAGTCAGGATGGCGAGTAACTTGGAGAGGAACTTGCAGGTGGTCTTGTTCCCACGTTTGCCCTTGTCCTTCTCGATGGAAGTGGTCATTGGTTTGGATGGAGGAGTAGTCCAAGGATCTTCTGTGTATTTTTGCAGTGCATCTTGTAGATAGTATACACTGCTGGTATTGAGCGGTGGAGGTGGCGGGAGTGGATGTTTGTGAATGTGGTGTAACTCAAGCTGACTGCTTTGTCCTAGATTGTGTCAAGCTTCTTGAGTTGTTGGAGCCGCACTCTTCCAGGCAAGTGGGGAATATTCCATCCAACTCCTGACTTGAGGCTTGTAGATGGTGGACAGGCTTTGGGGAATCAGGTGGTTAGTTACTCACTGCAGTATTCCTATCCTCTGACCTGCTCTTGCAGTCAGTTCAGTTGAGTTTTGGTCAATGGTAACCCCAAAGATATTGATAGTGGGGGATTCAGTGATGGTAACACCACTGAATGTCAAGGGTGGTGATTAAATTGTCTCTTATTGCAGATGGTCATTGCCTGGCATTTGTGTGGCGAATGTTACTTGCCACTTGTCAGCCCAAGCCTGGATATTGTCCAGGTCATTCTGCATTTGAACATGGACTGCCTCAGAATCTGAGGAGTCGCGAATGGTGCTGAACATTGTGCAACTATCGGCGAACATCCCCACTTCTGATGCTATGACGGAGGGACGGTTGAAATGACTTCCAAGAAGTTGGTAATCACCTGTCAAGCAATGAAAGCGTCCGAGAAAAGTGTGTTATAAGTAGGCTATTACCCGGCCATGGCTTGAACTTTTCTATTTCACTGATCAAAGGCTTCCTAGTCTCACCTGACTGGCCCTGGTGAGTTACTGACAACTGAGGAAGTAGATATTCTGGCTGTAAAGCCAGTGTGTTTGGTTAAAATTGCAGTTACCCATTCACATATTTATATTACTTAACCAACAGCTGTACATCAGTTTGGGATGTGGAACCAATGTACTTTTACAGGATTTAATTCCTCACACATACCCCGACCTAGTCCCCACCCTTGTTTAGAAAAAAATGTCACCCACCATTGAGGAGAGAGATTTGTGAAACTGAGTTTCTTAAGTAACTTCTCTCTATACTACTCGAAAATATAATATACACCCATGTTTTACAAACAATTTCCGTAATGAGATATTTTGCACCTTAAATTGCTGCCTTTTACTATGGCACACACTGCTTTCTGCTGTTTCCTTTGCAAGTCACATTATCCTGACTCCTTTCGGTACTCATACTTAGGCATCTGTTATAACAAATGTTCCAGACCCACACACTGAATGTGAAAGTGTCTGCACTTGTCCTGATGAATAAATACTGTGCCTTGTGATTGCCAAATCTGGACGAGGGTCATTTCACAACAGACCTGCTACTATATTGGCAGGATACTGGACATGCAACACATATGAAGAGCATCCAGCTGTTATGCTTCTACCTTTGATATGCATCCTTCTCTTGCAGCCATAAAACAAATACACCAGCAGCTGGCACTAGTAATTTATATTTGCTGAAAGGCTCGAATGTTACTGATGCCAGATGTTCATTAATTCACCAAAGCTTCAGTAGCATGCCTTCCAATAGCGCAGTCTACTTTACGATCCTAAGACCCATTTGCAAACAACTGCATCAGCTAATAGTTTTTTCATGTTCAATACCACTGGCTATTATGTCGACAGGCAGAGGTAAAAAGTTGCAGTTATATAGCAAGTGATCACATTTCTCAAAGCACCTCATTTAAATGAATTATTTCTAAGGATAGTGATAAATGTAATCTTGGTTTTGTTTTGATGATCTTCAGGTCAATACTCTGTCCTAAGTAGGAAAATACACATAAATTTGCATAGTAATATATTCTTATGCTTGACAACTAGGACAAGATTGGTGTCAAAACTTCTAATAAACTTAACTGAACTAGCATCCCTGCAACAGCAACCTGACTACATTGCATTTCTAATAGAAAGGGTTCAAATGAAACCAAGAACAGTGCAAAAAAAAACTAATTCTTCATTATTTTCATCAATTCCATGTATAAAAAAGATCTAATTTCTTTAGCTTAACACAAAGGTTTATTTGATGCTAATCCCCAATGTGCAGAGGCAGTTGATTTCAAATTTTGCTATTTAGATGTAAATAATAAATTAATTACCTGCACATAGTCAATTCCTGGGCTATCAGTCTCACTAGTGTTTGGTGATACAGATGAATCAAAGTATAATTTTTCTCCAAGACAAAACTTTTTCCATCCTTCTTCATCATCAGGTGCTGGCTGTGAAGTTAACAGGGATTTCAAATAATTCAGAAAAAAAAAGTTTAATTGTCTTCAAGGAAACTCTATCTGTTTAAATAAAAATGATATGTCAATCTTTGAATCAGTGAGAATGTTACATGAAAGGGGCCATCCATCTTTATGTTAAATATTAGTACATGGGATGTGGACATCACTGGCTAGGCCAGTATTTATTGACCATCCCTACTTCCCCTGGAGGTGGCGGTGTGCTGTCTTGTTGAACTTTATGCAGTCTTTTGTGTGCAGATACATCCAGTGTTGTTAGGAAGTGAGTTCCAGAATTCTGACTGAGCAACAATGAAGGAACAATAATATAATCCCAGCTCAGAATGGTGTGTGTCTCGGAGGAGAACTTGTAGGTGGGCGTGATTCCATGCATCCGCAGTGCTTATCCTTTCAGGAGATAGATACCACAGATTTAGTTGGTGCTATAAAACAAGCCTTGGTGAATTACATCACTGGATACTATACATGGAGCTACTGCTGTCACTCAATGTTTAAAATGGTGGATGCAGTGCCGATCAAACAAGTGCTTTGTCCTTGGTGATGTCGAATTTTCATTGTTGTTGGATCAGCACTCATCTGGGCAAGCGGAGAGTATTCCATCATGCTCATCATTTGTGCCTTGTGGATGGTGGACAGGCTTTGTGCAGTCAGGAGGTGAGTTACTCGCTTCAGAATTCACAGTCTCTGACCTGCTCTTGAAGTCACAGCATTTGTGTGTCTAATTTAGTTCAATTCTTGGTCAATGGTAGTCCCCAGAATGTTGATCGTGTCGGATAAAGCAATGATATCGCCATTTAACATCAGGGGCAAATGGTTAGATTGTCTAGTTGGAGATGGAAATGCATGGCATTTGCATGGTGGAAGTGTTACTTTCATTTATCGCAAACCCAAGCCTAGAAGTTCTCCGGATCTTCCTGCTTGTAGACACGATTCTTTCAGTATGAGGAATCAGGAATGGTGCTGAACATTGTTCATTGATGATAGCATATTCTGATATTATGATGGAAGGAAGGTCATCGATGAAGCAGCTCAAGATGATTGAATCTATGACAACACCCCTAAGGACTCCTGCAGTGATTCCTGGGATAGAAATGATTGACTCTCAATAGCCACAACCATCTTCCTTCAATGGGTCTGCTCTGTTGGTAGGATACGGCATACACATTGATGGTGACGGCATGTCTTATCTGTAAGTTTTTGAGTATGTGACTATAACAGCCTATCACTAGATGGCAGCAAGACATTGCTGAATGCTTTTCCTTCGTAACCAAAAGATACAATTAGCAGTTTGTGTAATGTATAGATTGGTTAAATGTAACAATGTGATTCTGACACATTTACACTACCTGCAGGAAATAAATCTACATTCACCTACTGATCACTATATCAAAGTCAGAGAGGGAGAGTATATGAACTACAGCTTTGTGAAAGCTTTGGAAGGACAGTACAAATTTTAAGATAAATAAAATATCAGGATGTCCAAAGGAAGGTGCTATTCCTTTAAAATATAATTGCCTTTAATCAGGAATAACTCCAGCCTGTAAGATACGAGGCAAGCAATAAGTTCAGCATTGAATAGGATTGAACTGAAAGTAAGAAGCTATAGGCCAGAAAATAGTCTTTGTTAGTACTGTGTTGATTGCTGCACTTAGAAACATAACTGATGTGGGTGAACAAAGCTCACTTGTTTAAAGTTCTGGTCTGTGTGTCTGATTAACCACTAATTCTGGACTTGCTTCAGCTCAGTAGATTATATAAATAATAACATTCCCACCCTATCTTCTTGAAGATGTTGATTCCCTGCTGAAGTAAAGTTGTATGGGTGACAGTCAACCTCCAGTGTTTCACCCAAATGACTGGTCTTTACATGCAATCCTGGAAACCATCTAGCGAGTAGGCAGATTATTCAATGGTGCAGCACGTTACAGACAAATCCAATACTTGTCATCTATGTCGTATCATTCAGAGGTCCTTTGCTCATCAGGAGCAAAACTCAACCGTCCTTCTCTAGTCCTATCATAAATCAACTAATTCAGTACACATTCAGAAGATTAAACTTGGAACCCACATATTGCTCAGAAGTGCTGATTAACCAGCTGATTCCCAAAACTAACCATGTGATTGATTCACTTAAGGAAAGGTTTGAAATTATGAAAAAAAGTATCAAAAGCACCAACAAAACAAAGTGCTGAAGAAACTCAGCAGGTTTGGGAGCATTTGTGGAGAGAGAAACAGAGTTAACTTTGAGTCCATTGTGACTTTTTTTCTGGACTTTGTTTTTTATCAAAATAGTGATTTACATGAGCCTAGTAAAGAGTTTAGATTTGTCAGTGCCATTTCCAGATCTGCCCTCAACAATTCCTAAACAAACTTTTGCTGCCTCCTCATTACCATGATTGAGATATGTAACCTCCTGCAGCCTCCATTACTGGATGGCTACTATGAATTAGGGCATCTAACAGCATACATAGCTAGCATACGTTCCTGCTCTTCAAAGCAGTGTCTCTCTCAAATAGATGCTGTACTGCAACACAAGTCTGAAAGAAACTGGAAACTGATGCATTCAGCTTGAAGAAAAATACAGCACCAGCTAAAGGAGAGGAGACTCCCAAATCATGTTCTTAAAGGATGTGGAAGCAAGTGGATAAGGGAAAGTGGGTTTAATGCTTAGATCTGGCCATGAGGACGGGTCATAAAGAAGACCTCATACAAGTACTCCCGTTCAATGAATGCACCTTTGCACCAGTTCTCATATCCACCAAACCACCAGGTTGTTCAGCCGCCACGGTATGACACCTCCGTCACTCACCCAGCTACACTTAACAACATTTAGAAATCATACCTAATGTTCACATATATGACCTCACCTATACACTTTGCAATTATGTCAGTCTCCTATCCTAATCTCATTGTTTCCAGACAGCTCCAGTTATTCAGGTTTTGCAATGTACATCACCAGTGTCAGGCAATAACAGACCTCTCTTATGCTAAAGGACATCTATAACACGACGTGGCACAAGCAACTCCATGGCGATGAGGGTGGGATCCACCACTCTATTCAATTACTCAGAGGACAGGTGCTCAGGATGACAGGGCCAGCAGCAACAGAGGCTGTGACATCTAATGCCACTGAGAACATTCAGGAGATGTTGGCTTAAAGCCTTATGTCCCTTCTCAACTCTCTACTCTCCCCTCTCCTCAGGTCTTTTAAACTGAAACTTACCAGTGGGGTGTTCTTGGATGTCTGGATTTCCTTCCACCTATCTCTTACCCCAACATTTCCCCTGTCCCTTTTCATACTTTATGCTTTAAGATACAAAAGATCTTCCTCCTGGCCAGCTTGAAAAGCCATGAGGAAAGGGGAAGCAAGCGTACGCCAGCAATTAGGAAGCACTGTCACTTGATCACACAATCTCAGGCACTAGGCCTGCACGTAGGTTAGAAGCTAGTGCAGAGTTGTGGTGAGTTACTGGGCAAACTGCCAGATCATGGGAAAAGGGTAGCTCACACCGCAATTCATCAGAAAGCGCAACTGTGCAAGTTCTCCTTGCACCACCACAATTTTGGCAACGCTCTTGCTACTGCCTCTTAACCAGTCAACATGGCCAATACTGAGCTGGCGAGTCCAAGGCCAGGCTCCTCAAAGTCCAGGTATAATAAAAGGTCAGGTGCAGTTTCCTCCATGAAATTCTTAATTTGTCCACCAGAAATACTTCAGCTACTGGGATAGAGCAATATTGGAAAACAAAAACTGGCAAAAGCATGTGACAAATCAGTTGAAAGTAGGGGAATTGATCTTTGAAAACTCTTAGTGGCCGTCTTCTGTAGAGAACCTTCCTCCTCTGTGTATATACTCTGATCCATGTCCTGGCCATGTTACAGATCAGAAGCCAATACAACACAGTCCCCGTACCTGGGTCAGATATGCCTCAGTTCTTGCTTCCTGAATGGATCAAAATGCCACAAACTCAGCACATTTATTTAGGCCGTGTTTGTGGAAACTAATCAAATTTTTAAAAAAGCTGCTGTAGGCAGCTCTTGTGGTGCAATAGTAGTGACCATACCGATGGTCTAGGAGGCCTAGGTTCAAATCCCACCTGCTCCAGAGGTGCATAATAACATCTCTGAAGAGGTTGATTAGAAAATAGGTTAAATAAATATTTTTTAAAAATAATAAGGTGCTCCAGGGGGGCTCTTGTGGTGTAGAGCTAGTGTTCCTACCTCCGAACCAGGAGGCCTAGGTTCAAGTTCCACCTGCCCCAAACATGTGTCATTACGTGTCTGAACAAGTTGATTTAAAAAAAAAGCTGCTGCAGCCGATCCACCCCTCACTTTTGATGGTTTGCATTGCGCATAACAGGCTTTGCTTGTAAGTACTCAATTGGATACATGCGTGTCTTTATTGGTAGTGGTTGCTAGTTTAAAAAAAAGTCGCAGTGATTTTGGTGGTGGGAAAGTGCTCAGTTGTGTGTATTAACACTTCTGATTAGAGCAAAAAAGCAAGAAAAAAGAAATAAGCTAGTGCAGGGCCCATCTTGCAGTGGAACACTTGCTATTTGTGGAGTGATGACTAAATTTATCCAATGGACTTATGTGGTCCAAATATGGTAGATGGGCATTATATCAGCTGCTCAGGTGGTATGATGTCCGGAAAGCAATGAATTAGTTGCTTCTGATGCATATAGGGGATGTCCACTCAAAACGGTACACAACATCAGAAGCAGCTGGGTGCACAGCATGCACCAGCAAAAGAGGGAGCCCTCAGCTTCAATAGCACAGTCTCCAATAGAGAGAGGAAACCAAGCTCATGCTCAAAATTTATTTCCCAAAATGTAAAATTCAAATCCCAATTTATTCTGGTTGATTTCTTGTAACATAAAGTGATCCTTTCGATGAAAATTTCAACATCAATTTTTTTCCTGCATCTATCATTCACTAACAGGTTTACAAGCCCTTTTGAAGACACATCCATTAACATTTCCACTACTAAATCGTTAATTTCAATAGAAAGGGTGTTGAATCAGTGTAAACCACATACCAACATTACATTACTGTCCAAAGGTTGTGCCTTCCAATGATCCCGGTGTTTGGCAATACTCTGGGAAATAAAGATGTAAAAAATTAACGTCTTTTTCCAAAAATACACGCATCATTGTACTGATGTTAAAACAAAAAAAAAACACCAAATATTGCTAGAAAACCCGTATAAAGTTATACTTTCAAATAAGCATTTAGCTAGTGATGATGTTTGGGACTATATTCCACACCTACAATTTATCCTGCAGCATTTCCTATTAATGTTTTGCATAATAAATTAGCACAGGGACACCCCGATGGCCACAATCATTCACTGTACATTTTCATTTTTGAATTACACATTCAAATATCAAAACAAACACCATTTTGTGAGCGTTTTTAAACCTTTTGAAACTGAATGTATTCCACTGAATTAGCTATACTGTAAACAATTTAAAATTAGAACTTGGTATGAAATGCCACAGAATCACTATATTAATATTTTGCTTATTATAATGTACTAATTAGAAGTCACAGCGTACCATGTTCAACAAGCAGCTTCTTTACTATACAACATTGCCTGCCAGCCAGATAATTAATACTGGTTTCCTACAAAAATAAATTCTGAATGCATTTTCATCACCAAGTTCTTAAATATCTACAGAAATAATTTAACAATGCAAATATTTTACCTGTCGGAGGACTGAAAAATTAGCTACTTGTTGCTGCTGCCAACGGAGACTGGGAGAAAATCCTGCAGGGGCAGGTTGACATCCTGATAGCTAAAATACATATATTACAATAAATTTATAAAATGTGCAACAACATGGTAACCTAAAATATCTATGCTTAAACTCTGATGAATGTGGGCTGCATTTTTACAGCTGAGCAGCGATGGACTGGGCGACTCAATTCCTCACATGACAATGTAACTATATTTATTTTTTATGATGTAATAGAACAAATTTTACAGCTGAGCAGGGATGGACTGGATGATTCAATTCCTCATATGACAATGTAACTATATTAATTATATTTATGTTTTATGATTTTAATATTTTCTGTTTGAAAAAAATCAATTAAAGAAAGTAACAATAAGAGTGGAGCTGCGCTATTTGACAGATATGGCAAAAAATTAAATTGACTTCAACACAGTGCATTTTGAGCACCTGCTTAGGCTTCTGAATTGCAATCCACAGCTTTTTTTTTTAAAGAGATTAAGTTTTCACTTTTGGGGGCAGAATGGGAGGGCATAGAAAAACGTTGTGGCAATTTGAATAAAATATTCAACATGATTTTGGATAAGACTACAGTATCTCATCACGTAAATAGATACAATGACAATATAATATTTAAACTTTTCAAAATCATTTGAGAGGAAAAAAACTGTGCATTATTTTTGCCACAATCCTACAAGACCATGCGTACATTTCAAAATAAATCCATTCTAGTCATGGTCAATGTACAAGCCCAATTTATGTTTAAACTGTACATAAGATGGCCAAAATTTTATTAAATATTTTCATTGCTGAGTTAGATCTTTGATTGACAAGGCATCTAAGTGTTATACGGGAAACAATGGAGTAAGACCATAATCAGAAAGCCATTATCTCATTGCTGCTGGCTCAATGGGCCAATTAACCTACTTGTGTTCCAGTTTCAGATGATCTGAAAATCACGTGCACAACACTAAAGGACAAAAAGCTTAAAAGCAAGTATCGAAAAAAAACAGGCTCAGATGAAAATAATATTTTTTGTTGTTTCATTAAGAAAAACATGCATCTATCAGTTCCTTGGTTACTTTTAAAGTACTGTACCAACAATTATTTCAAAGCACAATCACTATTGTCAAGCAGGAAATGTACGCATACCTAGATCCAAACAACTCGTGAATGGATATCCAGTTAACTTATTTGGATGAAATTTATTAAGAGAGAAATGTTGGTCAGGATACTGATAAAACTCTTTAATCTTCTCTGAAAAGTCATTTTCCTAATGTGACATACAAAACGTCTAAAACTATAATAAATGCTCAGCACTACAGAAAAGCATGTCTAAAAATGTATTTCCTTGGGCAAATTAAGCTACTTTTCTTTCAATTTCTCTTTAAGAAACAGTTCCTACTGTGAAGATAGAGCCAATTTTCCTCAATCAGTTTCATCTTTCTGCTAAATTTTATGTATTGATATAGACTGATACTACAGAAATAAAAGTGGACAAGAAACAATTAAAAATATAAACATGCTCTTTCCAAACAAATTTCGTACGGTTTTCATGTAATATATCAAATTATTGTACTTACCGAGACATTCACTGTTGGATTCCGTTTCAACTTTCTTGGGTCAATTTTTGCCACTACTACTTCAGGACATCGAGAAGCTTCAATCCTGAGTGCAAAAATTAAAACAATTTCTAAATTACAATGTGTAGGTTAAACTAAATAACGAACATGAACCAAAATCGTGCAGTTACTGATTTCGTACTTAGCAATTTTCACCTGAGTTACATTTGAATGTCTGCTCTCATCCCCATGATCATGTGTCACCTATTGCAGTGATATCTTCCCAGCCCGCTACTAATGCCATACTAGGATGACAAATGGTACAAGGCACAAGCTGTATTTGATTTAAATCTAAACTATAATAGAACATTTACAACTCATGTTACACGGAATACAAAAGTCTTCACAAGGAAGACTTTTCAACTCATATCAAATATTTAATTGCAATTTTGGCAATTTTTCCACTTTTACTTACTGAACTCTTTTCAAGTATTCCTGGGGTGTTCTGGGTGGCACACTAGGATCAAAGTCTTCAATGGTATCCCAGTCATCCACAGGCAATTGCCTGGGCATCAAATCTTCTTCAAAATTCATTGCTGTCACGCTTTTCTCCACACTATTTAAAAAAAGTTAGACTTATATCTAATTCACCAGAGTGATAAAATTCACTATCTATGAAAATTAAACACTGGAGCAAGAGTTTAGAACTGAAGAACTTCAGAACAGAAAAACAATGAAGCATCATCACTCCCTGCAGATATATTTTAAGAAAACAGTTCAGTTTCTGACCATCTTAAATTTTTAGATCAGTTTGCATTTGAAAAGTTGAACTGTAAAATACACATTACAGTCAGTGATTATGATATCTGAATAATCAGGTACTTAACAGTCTGTATTTCATTATTAAAGACTTTTCACATGTTTGGATGAGTATCCACTTAAAGCATCATCCTGGTTTGGTACCTGATTTATGACCAAACCTACTGAAGGTACCTATACTATTTCACAGGAAGAAATGGATCCAAAACGTCAAAAAAACTGGTTTAAAAGCAATTAGAAGTATTTTGATTTGAGAGTGAAATTCTCAGTGTTGTTTGTATCAGTGATTCAAACAGAAATTAACACACCAAAACAAAAATTGTAAGTCACAGTGGATGCTGTCCTTCCTCTAAAAGAAAGTTGAAGA